CAGGGGCCAGATTCACGAAAGCACTTACGCAAGTACTTAGGAACGTGTACATCTTTCCTCAATCTTTGACGGCTTTGGTTACATTTATTAAAGTTTACAAACATGAAAACTTCCCATTAAACTGTTTTTATTGTTATAAATAGCCTCCTGGTGATTCGGAGCTCATTATCTGTTTGATAATTGGATACAAAGCCGCCAAAGATTCAGAAAAGATGTACAGGGGCCAGATTCACGAAAGCACTTACGCAAACACTTACGAACGTGTACATCTTTCCTCAATCTTTGACGGCTTTGGTTACATTTATTAAACAGTTTACAGGCATGAAACTTGCCATTCAACTCCTGTTATTGTTATAAACAGCCTCCTGGTGCTTCGGAGCTCATTAAGTGTTTAATAATTGGAAACAAAGCCGCCAAAGATTGAGAAAAGATATACAGGTTCGTAAGTGTTTGCGTAAGTGCTTTCGTGAATCTGGCCCCAGGTTCGTAAGTGCTTGCGTAAGTGCTTTCGTGAATCTGGCCCAGGGATGGAATGGACTTGCGTCGAGGACGGGTTGAGAACTGGTTAAGCTGTGAATCAGTCGAGACAATGCCTCCGAACCCTGTAACCAGACCGTAAACGGCTATTGAACTAACGACCAGAGAGAACCATCTTCAGAAGTAGCTTGTTTTACCAGTCTGGTATACCCCGTGACAAGTGGTGACCGGCCTGTGGACACCACCCCCGTGGCGGCGGACCGGGGCCAGGCCGGGGAGACTTGTTCACACTTCATTCTTCGTGTGGCTTATCTCTCTTGAAGACCCGCAGCCAGACGCCCGCCACTACCGCCTGGTTCATCTCTCCCCGCTCTTACTTACGCCACTTATTTCCTCCCGTGTATCTTCCCGCTCTTCCCCTGCTCATTTTTCATAATCCTATGATATGGATCAAGGAAGGGAAAAGCCAGTTTATGTGTGAAAACATTAAACGTTTTCATAAAGGTTACTAGGCACCAGAGCCCTGCACTAGGACACAGGGTACTAGGGCGGGGGGCACCAGAGCCCTGCACTAGGACACAGGGTACTAGGGCGGGGGGCACCAGAGACCTGTACTAGGACACAGGGTACTAGGGCGGGGGGCACCAGAGCCCTGCACTAGGACACAGGGTACTAGGGCGGGGGGCACCAGAGCCCTGCACTAGGACACAGGGTACTAGGGCGGGTGGCACCAGAGCCCTGCACTAGGACACAGGGTACTAGGGCGGGGGGCACCAGAGCCCTGCACTAGGACACAGGGTACTAGGGCGGGGGGCACTAGGACACAGGGTACTAGGGCGGGGGGCACCAGAGCCCTGCACTAGGACACAGGGTACTAGGGCGGGGGGCACCAGAGCCCTGCACTAGGACACAGGGTACTAGGGCGGGGGGCACCAGAGCCCTGCACTAGGACACAGGGTACTAGGGCGGGGGGCACCAGAGCCCTGCACTAGGACACAGGGTACTAGGGCGAGGGGCACCAGAGCCCTGCACTAGGACACAGGGTACTAGGGCGGGGGGCACCAGAGCCCTGCACTAGGACACAGGGTACAAGGGCGGGGGGCACCAGAGCCCTGCACTAGGACACAGGGTACTAGGGCGGGGGGCACCAGAGCCCTGCACTAGGACACAGGGTACTAGGGCGGGGGGCACCAGAGCCCTGCACTAGGACACAGGGTACTAGGGCGGGGGGCACCAGAGCCCTGCACTAGGACACAGGGAACCAGGACACAGGGCACCAGGACATGAGGCCACATAGTAGTGCTGATATTAACAACATATAATGCAACTGGCAATCCTGCAACTCCAAGATCCAATATTGACTCAATAGAAGTAATATTAAGTTCCTAATTTGGTTTAAGTTGGTTCCAGTGGAATAATTCGATCATATATATACATTCAAACGATGAAGATGCGATGCTTCTTCCTACAAGTCTTGAGATGCGAGGGTGAGACCAGAGGCCCTGAATCTGGTGCCTTGTTAAGCTCTTGGTTCCCGCCTGTGTATTATGAATTAAGATTTCCGTCTCTGTTCCGGCCCAGGGACATGAAGAAGGGAACGATGTGTGGTGGGGGTGATGGTACTCACCTAGTTGTACTTGCGTGGGGGGGGGGTGAGCTTTGGCTCTTTGGTCCCGCCTCTCAACTGTCAATCAACTGGTGTACAGATTCCTGAGCCTACTGGGCTCTATCATATCTACATTTGAAACTGTGTATGGAGTCAGCCTGTTGTGGTGGTGGGGGCGAATGGGGGCAATAGTAGGTGTAAATAATGGTAGGGGTGTTGGTGGGGGAAGGGATGGTGGAGGGTGGCTGCAATCTGTCCACACTAATAGTAAATAACGTATTTGGACGTAAAAATCCCCAACGTCAAAATATAATGTACTATAAATCATAGCGGCTCGCAATCTTGACGGTTGTCCCGTTCTCTATGTGCGAGTCCTCGGTCTGGTTAAGTTCGGGTAATTTAGTACATCACTTTTGTGACGTTGTGACCACTCGAGTGGATGAACTGAGTTGAGGGGTTGGTGGAGGTAGTGAGTTTAGTCTTGCTGTTAATTTAAAGAGGGTAGCTTGTCCACCTTGTCTATTCTCGTTATTTTGTATGTTGTGATCATGTCTCCTCTGTTCCTTCTATCCTCTAAGGTTGTGAAATTTAATTCCATTAACCCCATGTTCGTAGCTTAACACACTTAACTCTGGCACCAATCTTGTTGCAAACCTTTGTACTGTTTCAATATTGGCTTTATGCTTCACAAGATGCGGATTCCATGCAGGTGCTGCGTATTGCAGGATTGGTCTAGCAAATGTTATATGGATTGCCTTGAAGGCGTCCTGATTTAGGTTTCCTAAACGTTGTTCTTATTTTCTGTCAGCGTCCCATATGCTGCTGATGTTATCTTGTTTGTGTGTGACTCCAGTGTGAGTGTTGGAATTATATCCACTCTAAATTCTTTCTTTCCGATTCCTGTAGTTGCCTTTACCTTATGGAGTAGATGCCTTCTTGCCTCCTCCGTCTCCTTACTTTACACTTGTTGGGATTGAATTCAAGCGTTTGTCAAGGTTCTCCTGTAACTTCCTGCAGTCCTCATCTATTTTTACATTCCTGAGAAATCTCTTGGTCTATCACCTACCTAAAATAGAGGCATCATAATCATCACACTCAACTGCTGGTCAGGTCGCCGGAGTAAACACTTCGCCCACTTCCAGGGAAAGATTAGAATAATTTATAATCTTTTATCGCGTAATTCCAAGTGGAAAGAATTATAAAGAAATATTTATTCTGAACATTAAGGAGGATGTAGAGATTTGCCAAGTGGTGGTAAATGAGTAGTACAAAGAAAGAAAGAATGAACAAATGGAAGTAAACAAGGAATAAGTGAGTGGGTGAAGATGATAAGATGAATCTCAAGACAGCGGCGACAAAATAACTCCGTTACGACGCAACTTGACAAGACACACTCGCTGTCTTTCCCGTTTTTAATCTTCCCCGTTACTCACCGTTGCCACACAACAGACATGCACGTCTGCAAGTAGTCCCTCTCGCCTCACAAACTGGCAAAGACGCTCCAAATTTATCCATCTCATCTCCCCATATGGGGAAATCTTCAACTTGTCTGGGAAGCTCGACTTGTTGCGCGAACGTCAGCAAACACGGCAAGTGCCCTGGGAATACATGCGGCCCATGTCAACAAACAACAATCCACCGGCAGCAGATAAGGACACGCACGGCATACAAACATTCGCAAGATGCAAATGACGCCAAGCTCGCACTCGCACACACACACACACACACACACACACACACACACACACACACACACACACACACACACACACACACACACACACACACACACACACACACACACACACACACACACACACACACACACACACACACACTGGACCCCCCCCCCCCAGACACCCCTCGGATCCCCCCCGGACATCCCCCGGATCCTCCCCGCCCCCAGTCATCCCCCAGACCCCCAGAGAAAGGGAGAACTCTGGTACAAGAGTTTCCATGAAGAATCTCAAGGTTTGGTACTCCAATGCTGATGGGGTATCTAATAAAGCAGAAGAGATAAAAGAAAGAGTGAGTGAAGCAGATCCTGACATAGTTGCAATTGTGGAAACTAAAATTATTGACATGATCTCAGATGCAATCTTTCCTGAAGGGTACCAGGTAATACGAAAAGAGAGGACACAGAGACAGGGAGGGGGAGTAGCACTCCTAATAAAGCGGAAATGGAAGTTTGAAGACCTGGGAAATCGGGTTACCAATGAGTGCACAAGCTTCATACATGGAACTCTGACAGTAGATGGGAGGAAGATTGTGATCTTGGTAATCTACAATCCCCCACCAAACAGTAGAAGACCCAGGCAGGAGTATGATAACAACAACAAGGCATGTATAGATGAACTGCAGAAGGCAGCAATAGTCTTACTATTGGGAGGAGAGAGAGAGAGAGAGAGAGAGAGAGAGAGAGAGAGAGAGAGAGAGAGAGAGAGAGAGAGAGAGAGAGAGAGAGAGAGAGAGAGAGAGAGAGAGAGAGAGCGAGCGCGTTACAGCTAGCTGTACTAGCCCCCCCCCCTCCCCCCGTAGCACTAGGCTCTCAACCTTCAAAAGTCTCATGCTGGAAGTGCCTTTCTCAAGAACATCTCTCCATCAGCGATCATTCATCCTAGGCTGGAGAGAGAGACATATATAGTACAGAAAATGTTCGAGAGTGAGTACATTGGACAACCAAGAATTACATAGGACTGGTCCAAGAGATAACGGCTTGATCCGACAGGTACAAATAGTAACCAGAGGCGTATACACATTCCCTCTAGTCCTGGATGAAGGCTCGGATGCAAGATAGCAAGAGGTACATCTAACTGATGCAAGCATGCCACCGAGCAAGACCAGGAGATATGCAGGCAATCTGGGCAGGTGACACCAGACGCCCAGGCTTACAAGACATTATCCTTCACATACCTTACTACATCACAAAGTCGGGGGTGACCTCACTTGCACCAGGGCACAGTGACCCCGACCTGCTGCACCAGGACACAGTGACCCCGACCAGCTGCACCAGGGCACAGTGACCCCGACCTGCTGCACCAGGACACAGTGACCCCGACCAGCTGCACCAGGGCACAGTGACCCCGACCTGCTGCACCAGGACACAGTGACCCCGACCAGCTGCACCAGGACACAGTGACCCCGACCTGCTGCACCAGGGCACAGTGACCCCGACCTGCTGCACCAGGACACAGTGACCCCGACCTGCTGCACCAGGGCACAGTGACCCCGACCAGCTGCACCAGGACACAGTGACCCCGACCTGCTGCACCAGGACACAGTGACCCCGACCTGCTGCACCAGGGCACAGTGACCCCGACCTGCTGCACCAGGACACAGTGACCCCGACCTGCTGCACCAGGGCACAGTGACCCCGACCTGCTGCACCAGGACACAGTGACCCCGACCTGCTGCACCAGGGCACAGTGACCCCGACCAGCTGCACCAGGACACAGTGACCCCGACCTGCTGCACCAGGGCACAGTGACCCCGACCTGCTGCACCAGGGCACAGTGACCCCGACCTGCTGCACCAGGGCACAGTGACCCCGACCAGCTGCATTAGGGCACAGTGACCCCGACCAGCTGCACCAGGACACAGTGACCCCGACCTGCTGCACCAGGGCACAGTGACCCCGACCTGCTGCACCAGGGCACAGTGACCCCGACCAGCTGCACCAGGGCACAGTGACCCCGACCAGCTGCACCAGGACACAGTGACCCCGACCAGCTGCACCAGGGCACAGTGACCCCGACCAGCTGCACCAGGGCACAGTGACCCCGACCAGCTGCACCAGGGCACAGTGACCCCGACCAGCTGCACCAGGGCACAGTGACCCCGACCAGCTGCACCAGGGCACAGTGACCCCGACCAGCTGCACCAGGGCACAGTGACCCCGACCAGCTGCACCAGGACACAGTGACCCCGACCAGCTGCACCAGGACACAGTGACCCCGACCTGCTGCACCAGGGCACAGTGACCCCGACCAGCTGCACCAGGGCACAGTGACCCCGACCTGCTGCACCAGGGCACAGTGACCCCGACCAGCTGCACCAGGGCACAGTGACCCCGACCAGCTGCACCAGGGCACAGTGACCCCGACCAGCTGCACCAGGGCACAGTGACCCCGACCAGCTGCACCAGGACACAGTGACCCCGACCAGCTGCACCAGGGCACAGTGACCCCGACCAGCTGCACCAGGACACAGTGACCCCGACCTGCTGCACCAGGGCACAGTGACCCCGACCAGCTGCACCAGGGCACAGTGACCCCGACCAGCTGCACCAGGGCACAGTGACCCCGACCAGCTGCACCAGGGCACAGTGACCCCGACCTGCTGCACCAGGACACAGTGACCCCGACCTGCTGCACCAGGACACAGTGACCCCGACCTGCTGCACCAGGACACAGTGACCGGACATTCCTTCATATATTTATGCATACATATATTCGTTCATATTATGTACATTATATATATATATATATATATATATATATATATATATATATATATATATATATATATAATATATATATATAATGTGTGTGTGTGTGTCGTACCTAGTAGCCAGAACGCACTTCTCGGCCTACTATGCAAGGCCCGATTTGCCTAATAAGCCAAGTTTTCCTGAATATATATTCTCTAATTTTTTTCTTATGAAATAATAAAGTTACCCATTTCATTATGTATGAGGTCATTTTTTTTATTGGAGTTAAAATTAATGTAGATATATGACCGAACCTAACCTATCTTTATAGGTTAGGTTAGGTAGCCGAAAAAGTTAGGTTAGGTAGTCGAAAAACAATTAATTCATGAAAACTTGGCTTATTAGGCAAATCGAGCCTTGCATAGTAGGCTGAGAAGTGCGTTCTGGCTACTAGGTACGACATATATACGTACACGTGTGTGTGTGCGCGCGCGCCTACATGCATCACATACACACACAAGCGGTCATGGTAAACCAACAAGAAGAGCGTCCACGGCCCAGTTAGTGCGGATGTCCCACAGATAATATTTTCTCTAATATGCAAATGAAGACAATTCTCTTTATCTCTAGCGATCGACGTAACAATGTACTACGCTTTTATTATTTAAACATGTGTGTGTGTGTGTGTGTTTACTCTCCTAGTTGTGTTTGCGGGGGTTGAGCTCTGGCTCTTTGGTCCCGCCTCTCAACCGTCAATCAACAGGTGTACAGGTTCCTGAGCCTACTGGGCTCTATCATATCTACATTTGAAACTGTGTATGGAGTCAGCCTCCACCACATCACTGCCTAATGCATTCCATCCGTTAACTACTCTGACACTGAAAAAGTTCCTTCTTACGTCCCTGTGGCTCATGTGGGTACTCGGTTTCCACCTGTGTCCCCTTGTTCGCGTCCCGCCAGTGTTGAATAGTTTATCCTTGTTTACCCGGTCGATTCCCTGAGGATTTTGTAGGTTGTGATCATGTCCCCCCTTACTCTTCTGTCTTCCAGTGTCATAAGGTGCATTTCCGGCAGCCTTTCCTCATAACTCATGCCTCTTAGTTCTGGGACTAGTCTAGTAGCATACCTTTGGACCTTTTCCAGCTTCGTCTTGAGCTTGACAAGGTACGGGCTCCATGCTGGGGCCGCATACTCCAGGATTGGTCTTACATATGTGGTGTACAAGATTCTGAATGATTTCTTACACAGGTTTCTGAACGCTGTTCTGATGTTAGCCAGCCTCGCATATGCCGCAGACGTTATTCTTTTTATGTGGGCTTCAGGAGACAAGTTTGGTGTGATATCAACTCCTAGATCTTTCTCTCTGTCTGTTTCATTAAGTACTTCACCTCCTATTCTGTATCCCTGTGTCTGGCCTCCTGATTCCACTGCCTAGTTTCATTACTTTCCATTTACTCGGGTTGAACTTCAACAGCCATTTGTTGAACCATTTGTTGTGTGTGGGGGAGGGGTTGTGTCTGTGGGGGGGTTGTGTGGGGGGGGGTTGTTTGTGGGGGGGTTGTGTGTGTGGGGGGTTGTGTGTGTGGGGGGTTGTGTATGTGGGGGGTGGGTTGTGTGTGGGGGGGGTTGTGTATGTGGGAGGGTTGTGTGTGGGGGTTGTGTATGTGGGGGGGGTTGTGTGTGGGGGGGGTTGTGTGTGGGGGGGGTTGTGTGTGTGGGGGGGGGTTTGTGTAGGAGGGGATAGTGTGTGTGGGAGGGGATGGTGTGTGTGGGAGGGGATGGTGTGTGTGGGAGGGGACGGTGTGTGTGGGAGGGGATGGTGTGTGAGGGGGGGTTGTGTGTGTGGGGGGTTGTGTGTGTGTGGGGGGGGGGGTTGTGTGTGTGGGGGGGGGGGGGGTTGTGTGTGTGGGGGGTTGTGTGTGTGTGGGGGCTTTTGTGTGTGTGGGGAGCTTTTGTGTGTGGGGGGGGGGGGGGGGGTTGTGTGTAGGGGGGGTTGTGTGTGTGTGGAGGGGGGCTTTTGCGTGTGTGGGGGGGGGGCTTTTGTGTGTGTGGGGGGGGCTTTTGTGTGGGAGGAGGGCTTTTGTGTGTGTGGGGGGGGGTTGTGTGTGGGGGGGGGGTTGTGTGTGTGGGGGGGTTGTGTGGGGGGGGGGGTTGTGTGGGGGGGGGTTGTGTGGGGGGGGGTTGTGTGTGGGGGGGGGTTGTGGGGGGGGTTGTGTGGGGGGGGTTGTGTGGGGGGGGGGGGTTGTGTGTGTGGGGGGGGGGTTGTGTGTGGGGGTTTGTGTGGGGGGGGTTGTGTGTATGTGTGGGGGGGTTGTGTATGTGTGGGGGGTTGTGTATGTGTGGGGGGGTGTGTATGTGTGGGGGGGTTGTGTGTGGGGGGGGGTTGTGTGGGGGGGGGTTGTGTGTGTGGGGAGGGGGGGTTTGTGTGTGTATACTCACCTAATTGTACTCACCTAATTGTGCTTGCTGGGGTTGAGCTTTGGCTCTTTGGTCCCGCCTCTCAACCGTCAATCAACTGTGTGTGGGGGGGGTTGTGTGTGGGGGGGGGTTGTGTGTGGGGGGGGGGGGTTGTGTGGGGGGGTTGTGTGTGGGGAGGGGTTGTGGGGGCGGTTGTGTGTGGGGGGGGGTTGTGTGTGGGGGGGGTTGTGGGGGGGTTGTGTGCGGGGGGGGTTGTGTGCGGGGGGGGGGGGTTGTGTGTGTGGGGGGAATGTGTGTACTTATCTAATTGTGCTTGCGGGGGTTGAGCTTTGGCTCTTTGGTCCCGCCTTTCAACTGTCAATCAACTAATGTACAGATTCCTGAGCCTACTGGGCTCTATCATATCTACACTTGAAGCTGTGTATGGAGTCAGCCTCCACCACATCACTGCCTAATGCATTCCATTTGTCTACTACTCTGACACAAAAAAAATCTTTCTAACGTCTCTATGGCCACTCAATTTCCACCTGTGTCCCCTATTACGTGTGCCCCTTCTGGTAAATAGCCTGTCTTTATCGACTGTATCAATTCCTCTGAGAATCTTGTTTGTAGTGATCATGTCCCCTCTAACTCTTCTGTCTTTCAGCATTGTGAGGTTTAATTCCCGTAGTCTCTCCTCGTAGGTCATATCCCTCAGTTTAGGTACTAGTCTGGTGGCAAACCTTTGAACCTTTTCTAGTTTAGTCTTATGCTTGACTAGATATGGACTCCATGCTGGAGCCGCATATTCCAGGATTGGTCTGACAAATGTGATATACAAAGTTCTGAAAGATTCCTTACACAAGTTTGTAATGGCCGTTCTTATGTTAGCCAACCTGGCATATGCCGCTGATGTTATCCTCTTGATATGAGCTTCAGGGGACAGGTCTGGCGTGATATCAACCCCCAGGTCTTTCTCTCTCTATTTCGTCTCCCAAATGATACCTTATATCTGGTCTCCTGCTTCCCACACCTATCTTTACATTGCATTTGCTTGGGTTAAACTAACAACTATTGTTTGACTATTCCTGCAGCTTGTCCAGGTCTTCTTGAAGCCTCAAGCTGTCCTCCTCTGTCTTAATCCGTCTCATAATTTTGGCGTCGTCAGCAAACATTGAGAGGAATGAGTCTATACCCTCTGGGAGATCATTTACGAATATCAGAAACAGGATAGGTCCGAGTACAGAGCCCTGTGGGACTCTACTGGTAACTTCACGCCAATCTGAGGTCTCACCCCTCACTGTAACTATCTACTTCCTATTGCTTAGGTACTCCCTTATCTACTGCAACGCCCAACGAGTTACTCCTGCCTGTTTCTCCAATTTATGCATCAGCCTTTTCTGGGGTACTATATCAAAGGCTTTTCGACAGTCCAAAAAAATGCAGCCCGCCCATCCTTCTCTTTCTTGCTTAATCTTTGTCACCTGATCGTAGAGTTCTATCACGCCTGTAAGGCAAGATTTACCCTCCCTGAACCCATGTTGATGGGTTGTCACGAAGTCTCTTCTCTCCAGATGTGTTACTAGGTTTTTTCTCACAATCTTCTCCATCACCTTGCATGGTATACAAGTTAAGGACACTGGCCTGTAGTTCAGTGCCTCTTGTCTGTCACCCTTTTTGTATATTGGGACTACATTAGCCGTCTTCCATATTTCTGGTAGGTCTCCCGTTTCCCGTGACCTACTATATACTGTGGAGAGTGGCAAGCAAAGCGCTTCTGCGCTCTCTTTCAATACCCATGGTGAGATTCTGTCCGGCCCAACAGCTTTTCTCACGTCCAGATCCAACAGATGCCTCTTGACCTTATCTCATGTAATTTCGAACCTTTCCAAGGCCGCCTGCTTTACTGCCACTTCTCCTACCTAAGTGACCTCTCCTTGTTCTATTGTGAAGACCTCCTGGAACCTCTTGTTGAGTTCCTCACACACCTCTTTGACATTCTCTGTGCACCTGTTCTCACCCGTTCAAGTTTCATCACCTATTCCTTCACTATTGTTTTCCTCCTGATGTGACTGTGTATTAGCTTTGGTTTGGTCTTGGTTTTATTAGCTATATCATTTTCATACTTTTTCTCAGCTTCTCTTCTCACAGTAACATACTCGTTCCTGGTTTTCTGGTATCTCTCTCTACTTTCTGGTGTTCTGTTATTTCGGAAGATCCTCCATGCCCTTTTGTTCAGTTCCTTTGCTTCCATACATGCCCTATTATACCATGGATTCTTCCTTTGCTTCCATACATGCCCTATTATACCATGGATTCTTCCTTTGCTTCCATACATGCCCTATTATACCATGGATTCTTCCTTTGCTTCCTTCTATGATAACATAGTAATAAAATACAACGGACGGCAGGAGCGTACAAAACGAGATGCAAGAGACTAAGAATGATACCTATTAAGACAATGAAGAATAGGCCGATAAGGGAGGAGGGAAATATCAGATGTTGAAAACGCTCTATAGATACGCGGGGAAGTGATCGAGATAACAGCCATCAAATCGAGATGGAAGGAATACCTCCTGGACCTTGTATAACAGGGA